CTTATGTAGATTGATAGGCATTCTGAGCATCAGGACAGATGGAACCTAGACCAGATATCATTGTTAACTATTTATTCATCCACCCAGTATTTATTAAGTGCCTACTAAGTGCTAACTTATTATTTTGGGCACTGGAGATAATACAGTGTGGGGGGCAGGTTCAGTCTCCGCCTTCCCAGAGTTTATAGTCCAAAGGGGGATAAACAACTTCCTTAAACCTGTTGGGAGAATTAAGGATATAATGGAAGCATGTGGTGGGGGCGCTAATGTAGGTGGAGCCGTTTTCCTCTTTCATGTAGTTGTTAGCCAGTTTGACTCAGATTTTTAGCATTCCTTTTATCATTCTCTTCTAAACCTTTTGCAGTAGCTCCTTTTTCCGTTGTACCCTCAAATCTTCTATCTTGAAAGAAATCAGTAAGTCCTCATTTGACCCCTCTGTCCATTCAGATTGCCATATAATTTCTTTTTTCTCATCTAACATCTTTGGATGTGTAACCTGGACTTCTTGCCATTGTATTTTTATTATCCTCTCATGTTCACAGTTATTTTACTCCAATGTCTATTTTTCACCACTCCACAGAAACTGTTGTCATAAATGACTTACTGACCAAATCTAATGGTTTCTTCTTTGTCCTCTTAAGGTTCATTCGCTATAGTTATCACTTTTTTATTCTCGAAATCTCCTCAATTATCTTTTTTTTTTATAGAATTGTATACTTGAAACCTACGTTATCTTTGTATAACACTGTTTTCTCTTGCTTCTCATACTACCTCTCTGCCAATTCCTCTGTCTTCTTTTCTGGTTTTGTTCCCTAACATATCCTAACTCTGAGTGTACCCTAAACAGTTATAACCTCTAGACTTAAGATGAACCAAATGCACTTGAGTGAACCACCTTCTCAAAATCAGCTAGGACCTTGTTATATGGAAGATAGGGGAGTATATAGAAAGGATGTGTGGAGTATGGTGAAGGCTGAGAAAAGTATTTCTTCAGAACAGAAAAGAAAGATTACCCAGCAGCACTGCGGACTTAGCTGAAGCAGGTAATCGTAAATTTTTGTGGTACCAAAAACTGGTGGATCAGATTGACCCAGGCATGAAAGCTTTCACTGAAAAGGCAAAGGAGCAATAGATTTGAGGCTTTTGCAAGATAGTACCTGAATATCCACACCGAGTAGGAAAAGAAGGGGACCCTTTAGAGGACTCATAGGTTGGGAAGAAGGAGGAGGCATATGGTGACTGGAGGACTTGGTTAGGTGCCACACCAGGGTAGTGGAGTAGGGGGAGCGAGAGAGGGAGATGGGTAGGAGGTTGCTGAGGTTATCGGGGTTGGGTTTGACCAGTGGAAATGCTGTATGACATGGTTCAGGGTTACTATGTCAGTGGGTTGCTGAACTGCAATTGAGGGGAAGGCTGGATATAGGAGATGAAGTGAACCTTGAGGCTGGAATGTGGGTGGGTGTTCCTCAGGGATATTGAAGTCACTTAGAATCAGACAGATGCTTGGTAAAGCTATGAATCCTGGGGCAGCTCACCCCAAATGCAGCAGTCAGCCACCATTTACAATTCATTGTCATCCTGATTTGATAGCTATTTCTTATTTAAAGCAAATATTCAAGTGTCAGGATCCTATACCTAATGCTCTAAACAAAAGTTATCTAAAGCTTAAATAACCTTTTGTTCAAATGTCAACATTGTGAACACCTGTTAAAATTTAGTCAAATACTGCAATTAATTTCATGTTTAATGAATGAAACTATTTGGGGTGAATGTTTAAGCCTCAGAGTTCCTTCAAAAATGGAAAAATGAAAGTATTTTAGTAGTTGGTAGAAAATCAGATTCTCGAGTTGGAGGGAAATTTTCTAACACTAATAAAGTTGTCATCTTACTGGATTTTTTTTTCTGTTATGTTAAAGAGAGTAGAGAAAGCCTCAGAATATGCAGTTTTGAAAGCATTTTCTGCTGGAAATTCAGATTTTTCCAGAAGGCTTTGGGGCCAAATCGTTGATTTGGAAAC